TTTATATTCTGCATAATGGGTTATTTTACAGAAGGTGTTGACTGCTTTTCCTATTTGGTAGAATGTGGATTCAGTGCCATTCTGAACCCCTTCACCAAAAAAAAATTGAAAAAAAAGAAAAGAAAGAAACCGACTAGAAATTAATGCTCATGGGGATTTGTGGTTGCTACTCACAAACATTGAGCTGGACATAAATACACTCATAACATCTCATAAAGTTCATCCAAGTCATTAATTTTTTAAAAAAATTTATTTTAGCCAAAAGTTATAATTTCAATAAATAATTCTTCAACAGAATGTTTTTTTTTTTTTTTTTTTTTTTTTTAAATTTTATATTATGCATTTATGTAGCCTTTTCACTTGGGGTTCCATGGGTCAAAAAAGTTTGGGAACCACTGTTTTAGACAATTGCATTACTATAATACATTAGAAAATTTGTATTTTTTTTTTTTTTTTTAAATATTGAAACATGTGATAAACTCGAGGGATTGCTCCAGACAGCAAAAGCTGTGACCACTGCACTGGGTCTGTCAACCTGTAACTCTCAATTTTTATCAAAAACATATATAGAATCTTGAAATACATAAGTGTAAAAAAGAATACCTGTTAATATTTTACAAATCAGGGATTCCGAATGGGCTTGGTATTGGCCTCTGGGGCTCGATGTAAAAGGGAATCAATTGGGAGTCAGTAGCTGAATATGCCTCAGCATAATCAAAATCCCATTGTTTAAGGGGGGAATATTAATAAAATTGATAATTAATTGGTTTTTGATCATTTAGTAAGGAAGAAACCATATTAAATAAACACGAGAAATATACAGTAAATTATTTAATATATTTTTTAAATGAATAATTATAGTAGCCTCCCCCCCTCATATGAAACATTAATTTATAGGCTTTAGTCCTACGGATTCTCACGGCAAGTGAAAAATAATGAGATTCTGATTTGCCATACAGAATTAAGAAAAAAGTTTTCACTCTAAGTAAAGTATTTGAAGACATTACCACGAGATTTCAACAGCTGCATACTCTTGTTTACTTTTTTTACTGTGTCGAAACTTGAATGAAAATTATGGGTATCAACTATATAATGATCATGGTGATATTAATAAGGTAGAATTGTGTATTAAAAGAAAAGTATTTCAGAGTTTTATTTTCATTATTGGTAGGGGGAAGAAATACTGAAGGGCGGTCCTCTTCTGTTTTTGTAGTTGTACCTGAAATCTTACTTCAAATATATACATAGAGTTTAAATTTCTTTTCCTATTTGTCATTCTGACAAATTTTTAATTATTTCTTTATATATCAAGGGGCAACATAAGCTCTAGCTGCCTCTCTGATTTCTGGGTGATGATATCTCAGCTCATTTGATATTGAGGAATCATCATTTCTTTTTCAGTTAAATGTGTACAACAACTAAGTTTTAACTTCTAATTTGGCTGTGTTAAACTTAAGAATATGTTCCACAACTTTAGAAACAGCATCATTTACATTAAATTTTTATACCTAAAAAGATCAAATCAGACAAATGACCAGTGAGAATAGCCATCAGAGTAAATTATTTTTTTAAATTGTGTCAATGATCATAGGCTGATTGTTTTTGAACAGCAGAGTGTGAACTGCTACTTGTTATTCCTGATTAGCTAATGACTGTTAGAAAATGTCATATTCAGAACCATAGAGAGTACTTTTTTTTCCAGCATAAAATGGAATGTTTTAGTGCAGTTGTAAAAAAAAACAGTGTTCTTTAAACCAGGAATGGAGGTCTTTTAGAAATAACTTCTGAGCACCGCATTAACCATTGGTGAAATTCATACACAAATTTGTTAGTGTGAATTTGCCCATAAGATGGATATGTTAATTTTAGAGAAAATTGTGAGGTCTTCCAGTTTTAATTTGAAATATCTAAATAATAATAAGAAGCACTATGTGTATAAAGCTGTTTAAAATTATGTTAAATAAAATTAAAATTAGTTATAAATTTTTGAAATTTTTTGTAATTATGTGCAATAATTAATTGATGTATCCATGATTTTTATAGTTGTAATATTGTGCAGAAAATTGTAAAAGGCATCCCCTAAAAAGTATCATTACGAAGATTTTAAATCTTAATTGTGACAGTTTTACTTTAAATTTTACTCTTTCTCTCAATCTGGTTTCTTTATATCGGAAAGTTTTTTTCTTTAAATTATTTTTGTAGGGTAATATAAAATTAGTTTACTAAATTTCTAAGACATAACTTAATTATACAAGTTATTTGTCTTAACTTGAATTTTTATTTTGTTACATCCCTTCGTCCCCAAGTACGTACTATAAAGAATTTTATGCCGTTAGATGTTAAGACAATGCTAATAACCAGTTGCCTTGTATAAGGAATGGAGGCTTTTAGGTCCAATTGTGTTGAACTTTACAAACCATTAACAAGTAATAATGCTGATTCGCTTTGTGAGAACCTCTGATTTTAAGAAAAGGTTTTATTATTACACTGTATTTTGTTAATTTCTCTGTACTAATTATTACATTTCTCTACTTTAAAAAAATATGGTTTTGTTTTATAACTACTAATAGTACTAATTTTAATAGAATTTCATATCTATATACTAGAAACATTTTGATTTTATATTGATAATACTTACTTTGTCTGAAATATTTTCATAAGACTGCAAGAATTTATGTGATCTTTCAGCCACCTCAAGAATGTGACTAATTTATATTCTAGAGACCTTTCAGATTGAAATTGAATTCCATTTCCAAATCATATAAAACTCTGTTTATATATTTTTATATGTTTTTCAAATATGTGGAAGTTTATGAAACAAAGTACAAGGCATAGTGAAACCTAAACACTGTGTCCCTGGAGTACTTCATTTGCTTTTTCATTGCAGTTGTAAATATTGTACAAAATTTCTCTGCCTTTGCTAACACATAAGTGCCTCCTTCTCAAAAGGCTTTTTTCTCGCCAAGCATTTTCCCCTAGAACTGGAGAATATGTAAAATATAAAGAATGAAAAAAGTTTCATTCTTTTTATTTTAACTTCATTGAAACCAATTGGCAATAGACCTTTAAATTTAGAATTTTTAATTAACCACATCCCCTCTTCAAGGATGTTAAATCTGCATCACTCTGTGTCAGTCTGCAACATGTTACATTACTCTTTAAAGACAAAAGATTTCTCTGCACTGCAGAAAATAACTGCTCAAAACTAAAACAATATAATCAAGCTTTTAAATACTGTCAGCTATATACTGTGTTCCACTTTCTCACTTACAGGCATCAATATAACTTATATTCACTGCTCCACCACCATCTCTATTGTTTAGAGAGTAATAATTGTGTGGTTGCAACTTGCAGCAGGTATGCTGTACCAATTAAAATGAATTTAAAAGATGTTTCAAGAGTATCCAAAAATAAATTATGTGCTGAACTCGGCACGTCTGTCTGCAAATTCATAATTTCATATACTATGGATAGCTTCAAGCTGTATCTCTCTTCTGACTAAAAAAGTGATTGTTTTCATCTTCTGTAGTCAGTTCTTCAAGTATACAGTCAAAACTCGTTAATTCGGACACCCATAATCCGGGATGATCTATAATCCGGACCTCAAAGCTACAATATTTCTGCGCATGCATCGTGTTGACGCATGCGCATATGTGTTTATGCATGTGCGTAAGGCCTTTACGGCTGCGAATATGCGTGTGCGCATGTGCATAATACGTCTAGGCATGCGTGTTTAATGTATAATGGACGGTATAAGCTAAGCTAAAATTATCTAATTCAGTTAATGTTGCAGATTGCGTTGTTCCTTAATCTTCGAATTGGATCCGGCTTATTATTTTTTGCAGACTGTTAGAGCAATTTTATAAAAGTAAAGCTTGAACTTTCGATTATGTCAAATAGAATTTCCGATATATATTTACTAATATGTAAAGGATCTGCAAAGCGAACATATGTTTCGAAGTCCATCAAACAAAAAGTGGAATTGCTGCAAAAAATGGAAAGGCATATCCTTTGTTTCTCTAACCTATCGAAAATCTGTTTATCAATTTCACGCTGCTCTGCGGTGGAGGGGGTGGACGCCACGGCGCACAATGAATTGGAAGTTGATCTGTCAGCACTATCCTTATCTTATCTGGTTTCATATTTTTAATTTTATAATTTCTGCATGCCATCTTACCAGATTTAAACTGATGATTTATAATCCAGAAAAATCGATAATCCAAAATCGCCGAAGTCCCGACGAGTCTGGATTAACGACTTTTGACTGTATATATATTTTGCTTCTCTGTGTATATATATATTTCAAATAGTCAGTTCTTCTCTGTATTATCTATATATATATATATATATATATATATATATTATATAGCTAATTTGCTTATTATATATAATAAACAAATTAGCAAAATAAGTAACAAATTGAGTCAGATCTGCACATGGAAATTTAAGATATAAATTAATCTGCACTAGCAAAACCCTGCAACATGCTAGTATCTTACCTTTATATATGCATATATACACAGGGTTTTAAAGTATTAGTCCACAAAAAAAAAAGCTTTCAAATAGTTTTTCAAAAGCATCGTAATTTCGGGTAGATAAGCTGCGGCTTATACGTATTTAAAAGTTGTAACTTTAAGTCGGCAGCGTGTCTGAGGAATTTTATTTTTTCTCTGTCCTGAGAACTTCGCTAGTTCAAATCGCGAGCTACGCACAAGCGAAACGGTTAGTATTCGCTGTAATATTCTAACCTGAGATTGCGCTAAGTTCAAACTTGCCTAGCTAAGGTAGATGGCGCTCTCTGTAAAGACACAGTACTGATGCATGTTCTTTCTGCTAACTCTGTGGTTTTGCCCAATTTTTCCTATGACTTTTTGTTTCAATGGAAACAGCTACGTTTACTTTTCAAGTGCTGTGTTCATTCTTACATTTTTTTACTGCTTTGTAGCTGGCTTTTTGCTAGCCTTACCATTTGCACTTTAAAAATATTATTATTATTACAGATCCTTCTCGAAGAAAAAGTTATACAGCTGCTTTTAAACTTTTGGCAATGAAGAAAGCGATCGAAATTGGAAATCGTGCTGCAGGTAAAGAATTTCAAGTTGAGGAGCGATGCATTCGGCTGTGGAAGTCCGAACAAGAAGAATTAAAGGAAATACCTAAGAATAACAAATGAGCGTTTAAAATTTTGTTGGAAGACCTAATTGATGTTTCGGGTTCATGAAGCGAAAGGAATTATCTGTCAAGGACCAAAACAACAGTTGGACAAAAGCTTCTCGTGGACTGGCTTGAAAAAAAGGAAAGATAGCTTTTTTGGAGTACACATATAAGAAAGTTATAAAACAAAATTTGAAAAGAGGGCAAATAACTAATGTGGATGAAGTGCACATTACTTTTGATTGTCCTCAGAGCAGAAATGTTCATTCAGTAGGTGAAAAAACTATTTCAGTGTTAACAACCGAGAATGAAAAGACTTCTTTTGCTTGTTTCGCCAATGGAAGAGAAGTTAACGCTTTTGATAATTTTCAAAAGGAAACTTCCCTAAAGGAGTATTATTTGTGTGAACGAAAAAGGACGGATGTGCGAAGAAGTGATGGTTGGCTGAGAGAAATTTGTCATAAAAGGAAAGGTGCTTTTTTCAAACCCCGGATAACTCGAATCATTCTGGATTCACTGCGATCCCATTTAACGGATACGGTAAGATCTGAAGCAAAAAAAAACTTAGCACCGATGTCTCAGTGATACCAGGTGGGCTTGCAAAAATTTCACAGCTGCTGGATCTCTTTATAACAGGAATTTTCAAGCATGAACTATAAAAGCAGTGGGAGGAATGGGTGCAAAGCGGACTCCATTCCTTCACAAATTCTGGACGAATGAGAAAAGTTTCGTATGAGGAGGCTGCCTGCTGGGTCTATAACACATGACAATCAGTCCGAGCTGATACAATTGTATCAGCTTTACAATTACAAAGCTGATACAATTGTATCAGCTTTCATTAAATCGAAAATCATCGAAAATGAAAGTGAAGATAGTGACGTTGCAAGAAGTGATTTAGAATAGAATGATGAAATTGACCTTAATGGTCATTTGTTAAATTTACTTAATTCTGACGTCAATGAGTCAGATTTTGAAGGTTTTGTAAGTAATAAATGTAGTTTAATTTAATTACAGATTTCAGTTTGCTTATCTAATTCACGTATTCCTTTTGATAATATGGTAATTTATAGTTATAAACTGAACCCTTAAAAGTAATTTTCAATAGAAATCATCAGAGTTCATTTTCGGCAAGTTCAAGGTAAGATGTTTTTTCTTTATTTATTTATATATTACTGATTATATTTATGTTGTAAATGTTATAAAACGTTATTGATGATTATTACATCAATATGGCAGGAAATTACTGAATATCAAGTGCCATATTTCAGAATGCTTTGCTGCGGCGTATATGGAAGTGTGGCTTATTCGATGAACTTTCATTTTTTTTTTTTTTTTCAGTCAATTATCATGTGTGCGGCGTATACGCCAGGACGGCTTATCTACCTGAAATTACGGTATTTAATTTGTATGGAATACTTTTCTTGCATGCCTTATCTTAGAGTTAAAAAAATTTTTTTTAATGTTAAATTGAATCCATTTCTTGTACAAATGAGAAAATACCGGGGGGAAAAATTAGCACCTATAAATATGTTTGAAAAAAAAAAACTAATAACTGATTTTGTAATTTTACACTTCCTTTTCTTTTAATGCGTCTTCTAGGTACAGATTTGATGAGATTTTAAAATATTTGCTCTATTTTTTCTCATTCTGTGGCAAAATGAAACTTCTGAATTTATTTATTTTATCTTGATCTGAAATATGTATAAAAGGATTGAGGTCTGGTCTCTGCACAAGAATTTTGATTATATGTAGATAGTTGTATAAAATCTACATTTTTCAAAACGTGAGAATTATGCTTGGGATTATTATCCTAATGTATCTGTGATGCAACAGTATGCCCATTTCTTTACGTGTTGCTTCAAGTTTTTTCCTAAAGTAATCAAATACATAAATTTGTTGACCTTGAAAATGTACATTTCACAATGATGCAAGCACTCATGCAGTCCCAGACCATCTGACTAGCTGTGGCATGATTTACTGAAGTTATTCTTCATTTGAAGTTCAGTAATTTTTTTCCTCACATACCATTTGATTTTTATCATTTTTCAAAAATAATTTACTTTTATCTGCAAATATAAATCAATTCCAAAAGTCTTCAGAATTTTTAATATGGATCATAATGAATTGTAATCATTTTCGTTAAGTCGCTTGAATGAGAAATGATTTCCCTCTAACCATTCGGCCCCAAAAGGTATATGTTCTGAATATATTTTTTTACAGTTTTTTATTAAGTGGTTTTAGAGTTAAAATGATATTTTTAATTATCCTTTTTTCTTCACTTTCAGTCAGACTCCTTGCATGCCTTGTTCACAGTTTTTTTAATCAGTTTTTTAATGATATTTAAAAATTATATTTGATAACAGTAGACTATTTTTACATTCGGTAGCTCAGTTATTTTTATCTTATTCTTTACTATTCCAACAAAATATTTTAACTTTGATCACATCAAAAATCAGTTCCCCCCCTACCAATCTTAGAGAAGTAGCTCCTGAACTTTTGTTTTCCAATTTTAAAATCCTTCTTCCATGCATTTTACAAAAGGGTCACACTTTTTGTAATAATTGCGCTACAATGCCTGAATATCTGTTGTTGTTACATATAGCTTTATTGGAAAGGTTAATCCGAACATATAAAACAGTATATAATATAATAAAAAAAATGAACAAACATTTAAAGTAAGAATCAGAATAAATGACCATGGGAACAAAAGTAAAAACTTAAAAATTTAAACAACAAGGAAAGGAACATAAGAGATGTAGTCTTTACAAGGAATTCATGAAAGCTCTGGCATTCCAGTATATGCCCGAATATCTTTTTGATCTTAATTTCATATTTAAAGACAAGATATTAAAATATTTCGTGGCTATGCCAAATCGGCAATTCAAGTAAAGCTAAGCCAAATCGGCAATTCAAGTAAAGCTAAGCCAAATCGGCAATTCAAGTCAGGCCAAATATTTCGGTGAATAGAAGGGATTATGAACCAATGCTGATATTCAAAGAACTCATTCCTATTAAGCATTTTAGCCAATTCAATTTTGAGTGAAAAGCAATTTCTGCAGTAAATTTCGGTAATGCTCGAGTAACCGTCCCCCGACAACCTCGTGTTTATTTGAGTTCAATATTATTTGTAAAAATTAAACATTGGAAATTGTCATTATGAAATAGAATTCAAAGTAGTTGAAATAAACATTAGATAATTACAAAATATAAGATAAATAATGCAAACTTTGTAAAAACAAATCAAAAAAATATAAGAAAAGTGAATGTACATGAAGATATAAAGGCCAGGAAATGTATTAATTAACTTACGTTCTTTCTAGTGGGAAGTGGGCAAAGTGTTCTCTTCGCGTCTGACTCAGAAGTGTAGTGTTTCCGAAAATTCTTAGCGGCAGTGGGGGCTTTGAATACAGTCGGTAAAACTTGGGTGAAGTAATTTATGGTAGTGGGTGGGACTCGGAATTTTTGAGGGATGTATTCTGTGGAGTTCTTATTTGAGTGAAACCGTCTTAAAATTTTTTTGAAAATATTAGTTAATGGAAATTAATTTCTGGCTAATTGTCGTGTCGAAACGATTAAGAATTTAAGAAAGGAAAAAGGAATTTTCACTGTCAAAGAGCTATTTGACAAACTAAAGATTATGAAATAGGCCCATTTTTTTAGTAACGGCAAAAGTCTGAAGACAATTAGCTTTTTACAATATATACAACTGAGTAATTATACTATATACAAATCTTTCAACTGATAGTCATCCAACTTATACCGCCTTCTCAGGTTTAGGAACAAATTATCATATCCCTATCAGTTAAATGATTTAGAGTGAGTATTTAACGCCTGCTCTTTTAAGGCAATGGTTAATAAATTGATCGGGTATTAGATTATTTTTGAGAATTTTAATCAGGAGCAAAATTTCACGTTGTAGACTTATTGTATCTGTGCGGATATTTTTAATTCGTTGTATTTGATTTATTATTGTATTGTTAATTACTTGTTTGGATATGTTGGAATTCCAATTTATTAATTTGTTAGTATTGAAATTGAAGTTTCTTGTTTTGTCAAAAAGTAAAATTTTTTTGTAGTTAATGATTTGAAGATCTAGATAGTCTATGCTATTTTGTGAATTATTAGTTTTATTAAGTGTAAGACAATTTGGATGAATCTCGGAGTGTTCAATTTTACTAAAATTATTAATTGTAATAAGGTCATCAATATATCTGTAAGTGTGCTTGTAGTAATTTAACTCTTGTGGTTTTAGATTTTTTTGGAAGTTAAAATCTTTGATAAATAAAAAGATATTACAGATCGAGGTGCTGGAATGTAAGCCCATTGGCAGACCTCTGACTTGTTTAAAAAGTTGATTTTGAAATTTGATGTAGTTATGAAAAAGTGTGCAATTTAGGTAGGTTTTCCATTTGTTAAGAGTCATAATTGTAAGCATATCAGGGAAGAGTTTAGGCAGATCTAGAAGACTAGTGTAGATTTCTTCTAGAGGAAGTGAGGTATACAAGTTTTCAAAGTCGTAGTAGTTAATGTTTTGGATGTTAATTGTTTGAATGGCATTAATGACAGGAGTGTTATTATGGATGATCCAGCAATAGTTATGATTAGTGTTACAATCATTGAAAATAAATTTACAGATTTTATTAAGTTGAATTGAAAAATAATAGTCTATATTTTTCTTGTAATTATTAGTTCCATTAGCTATAAATCTAAATTTTAATGGTGTTTTATGGAATTTGGGAATCGCATAAAGATTAGTAAATCTGTTGTAGTTTGCATTGAAAGTAATATTGAGTTTCTTATGAAAAGTTTTAATCCTGTTTATTATAGATGTTTCTGTAAGGTTGGCTGATTGATAAGTAGTTGCGTTGAGAAGTTCTTTATGAATAATCTCAGTGTAGAATTGTTTTCATATAATGCTAAAGTTATTAGTTGCTTTATCTATTTTCATAATGGTAAAAAGTTTTAATTTTTTAATATATGATGTAAGTTGCGACCAATTCAATGTACTTTAAACTTGAGGTGACTGATTTTGGTGGATATGCGTTGAAGAATTTTATCTTTTCATTTTAAAAAGGTATCTATAGGTAAATTCAGTTGATAGCTTGCTTTAACTATAAATCCGTTGATGTTGTTTTTGAAAGTCTTGTAACAGTAATTTTTAGTTATGTTTCTGACTGGTCTAAATTTTGTACCATAACTCATTAATGTTTTTATTTGATGGTTTTGTATGATATTCAGGTTGCCAGTAATTATGTGCTGGTGATGAGAATCTACGTAATTGCTGTAAACTGGTGTCTTACAATGTCATTCTGCTGTTTCATCTATTTCATGGTGGTTAGTCAGCAAGTTGCTTAAGGTTCTTTGATATTTAAATGCAACCATTGGTATTGTGTCTACAGCTGGGAAGTAAACTTTACAATCGCTGATGATTCTTGAGAAATGAATATTGTCAAACTGTGGATGCAGAAAATTGACTTTAAAATAAATTTTGCGTTGAGTTAAACTATTAGAAAGTCTGAATAGACTAAAATCGAGAACCACGTCTTTGAAGATTTGTATTTCGTCGTAGCTTTCTTGAATGAATTTTTTTTAGTTTGATAAGGAATTTATAAGTAAAAGAGTGTAACCAGTTGAGAAGTTTCTTGGGGAAGTTATCTGAGCCAAAAAAACATTTTAATTGTTTTTTCAATGCAAGTGTATCCAAAGTGGATAAAAATCTCGCATTATTTTTTAATTTGCTTCCTCTTTTTCCTCTTTGCGTTTTGTTGCTGTAAAGCTTAAATTGGCTGAAAATAGATTTTTTAGAAGTATCTCTATGACTATGTTTATAAGTGCTAAGTCCACACGGATAAAGTGAACGTTGTTTTAGTATATAGAGTGATTCCTGAAAAATTTGTGTTTTGTGATTGGGTATTATATCTAATATCTGAAGTTGAATAGAGTTGAAGTCATGGTGTTTAAAGTGCTCGAATTCTGCTGTATTGAGTTGTGATGGTGTACTTATATTA